GACATTTGGCAATGATGGCATTCAAGTACTACTTAAATTTGTTTTTGTATTTGTTCAGTTAATGTGTTTTCTTTTTTGTTTTGGATTTTAACCAAAGTTATTAACCAACGGCGTGAATTATAAAAAGTGAGTACGTTGCATTCGCGCAAATTTATATTGCGCCTTTTGTTCATGGAAAACTTTTTTCTTTTGTTAAAGAAGTGAGTGGTGAAAGTATTTAGTCATCAAAAGTTCAAAGAAATCACAAAAATTATAATTAAAAGCTATTATTATAAAAAAGTGCGTTGACTCAAAGTAAACAATAAATCAAAACCAGTTTTAAGTACCTACTTATGTTTCGTAATTGCTGAAAAAAAAACGAATTACATTTAAAGTTCATAACTCATATATTTTTGGTGCAGCTAGACGGAAATACCAAAAAAGTTCACCGTACATCCTCGAATCTGAAGTGCTTTTGCAAGGTAATTTAAAACTAAAAATTTTTTTTTTTGGCTGAACATAGGTTGCCTTTATATATTTTACTTTATATTTCAGCATTCTTCTGCCAGAAACATGAATGTGCAAATTTATCAGTTTTGAGTTATTGGGTTGTCTTGATTAACCTTTGGATATTCTATGTTACACCAAAGCCCAGAATACCATGCGTACACGGAAACCAAATATGTATTTTACAATTTGAATTGCATGAATGCAGAGTTAATTCTCGTAAAAAAAACTTTCAAACTTGATTTCCCAAAATTTTCATTCATGTTTCTGCCATACGGGCGACGATATATCGATGTTATTGTTTCGAGCAGAGAATTGTTTTTGTTCCAGACTCCATTGACCTCAAATACACCGTTTTTGTACTTACTCACCAGATATCAGTTCTTAAAGCACCACCCTAATGCCAGCAAATTAAAGCTTTTCAAAAATCATTAAACTTTTGCTAAGGATTATTCCAGTTAGACTAAAAAAAAACTTATTACCGAATGTAGGTGTAATTTTTTTTTATCGACAGCTGTTTTCCTGCTTGGAGGCTTTGGGTTTCAATAATTCAAATCAAACGAGTTTCTGCGATAGCATATGGCATAGAGAAACAGTCGGTAGGCAATCACTTGAGAAAAGTTCTGACGAAGAACACGCCTTCTGCGATATACATTCCAGAAGCCCAATAGCGACTGAACCTCATCTCTCGGTAAAATGCTAGATCCACAACTAAGTGCACACTTCCCGAGTTGTAATGTGGCACCTGAATTCTCCGTGATTACCTTTGACTGCCCGCTGAAATGTTCGAAATTTATAGATGCCAACCCTACAAAACTCTAGGTAGGTTCTATCAGCATTTGGCACTCTATGCCCGTTGTTACTTATGATCTATAAAACGTGTCCGAAATTAAATTTCATACCCAAGGGATGGAGCAAAGTGCAATTTGTGTTTATTACAAAGGGGGAAAACCTCACATGCCAAACGATTTTCGACCGGTAACCCTTACTTCTTTCTTCCTCGATGTGCTAGAAAGTGTCAATGAATTCGCACTAGAAGTATCCCTGGACATTTAAGGCGCCTTTAATAACGTTCTCCCAGATGCGGTCATTAACACTCCAATTCACGTGGGGGTATGGAACTCCCTCTGTTACATATACATAATTTGTTGTGCTGCTGGACTTTTTACAGTCTGGCTGAACTGAGCACGGCTAGTATCTATGATGTTGTGACGTGGGTTATTAACGTCTATGGAAAAAAATCATATAAGTCACCTCTATTATCTACGTTATGACCAGGGAACGGATTTTATGGAAATTGCCTTTTTTCTGCTAAAGAGATAGAGTATATTCGATTAAGAATGTCCACGATTTGGCTTTTCTTGTTTCCATATATACACATTTGATGTTGCCTTTTTTGCATTTTTTAAGATATTTACCTTTTCTACTTTTAATTGTAAAGAGCAGGGAAAAAGCCTTTATTCCTTATTTCCATTTCCGTTCCATATTTAGATTGGGCGCCACTTGTATCAACTCACGTCGAGCGCACCTTTAGTACTTTCTTGGCTTTTCTTCGCGAATATCGAATGAAAATGCTGGCAGAAAACTTCAAAGTACATCTTGTGGTTCAATGTTACTGCAACTATAGAGACTAAAATTTTGCGATTTAAAAACTTAAAAGGAGAAAATAGTCAAAGATTCTAAGTAAAAATGTTTCATATAATGAAACTAATTCATAGTTTTTCTCTTCTTACTGTTAATATAAAAATTTCTAAAATAAATGTATTTTTTGATTATTTTTGGGTTTTTGTCTTTTTTAGGCCCTGCTTTTGCCTTTTTTGCGATTTCTAGTCCTTTTTCCGGCATATTTCACTTTTTTATTTTGCCTTTTCTAGCCTATTTCGTTATTTTATTTTGCCTTTTTTATAGGTTTTTAGGTCCTAAAAATCCGTTCCCTGTTCTATTATGTTTTGTTATGCCATGCTATGTTATGTTTTGTTATGCCATGCTATGTTATGTTATGTTATGCTGTTATATTACGCAATAATATGATACGTTAAGCTATGCTATGCTATGTAAGTTATGTTATGGTATTCTGTGCTGTTATGTGTACATGCAATTGTGGTCAACCAATTAAGTTAAGTGATATTTTGCCCAGTTTTGGCTAGTTTTCTTTTGTTTATTTAATGTTTATAATTTTCTTATACATAACCAGCATCACATAAATCTACATTTCAAACTTCTTACAAATATTTAAAAAAAATTTTAAACCTTTTATTCAGAATTTTTAGATATGCAGGTTTATACATAGCTTATTAAATTTTAGTGGGTTAAAGTGCAAATTTTTTTTTTAGTAATTTTTTTTTGCTGACGGTGCTAGGCATTTTCTTCAATATAAAAGTAATTGTTGCGCATAATAAGCAAAAAAATAAAAATAGTCAAAACTGGTCAAAATGTCACTTAACTTAATCAGCTGACCACAAGGGTGCATATCTGGTGGCACGCTCCTAGTTCTATTATCATTAAGAATCTGAATCTAGTAAATCTACTAAAAATTACTCCAGTTCTATTATTTACATACATATTTATGCATACCAAATAACCCAACTTACTTGACCTACATTAAGAAATGACTGTTACTAAATGTGCTGATCAATATGTATTTATAAGATGTATGTATGTATGTATGGACATGATTAAGTGTATAAGTTTGCTGCCAGCAATACTGCCTAATTTGGCCTAATTTTTTATTCCTTGAAACGTTTTTTTCCGCAGCACGTCAATTGTATCTTCTGTTCGGTTTTATTTGTATAATCTTTTATTTGTGGATTGTTTCTATTTCTTCCGTATATGTTATTATATTTGCTTCCTTTTTTTGTTGCTTATGTATGTATGTTTATATGAGTATCTTTTATGGTCAAGGCTGAATCGTATATATATGTATATGAATGTATGGATATTAGACCGCACCGGAATAAAAAGTTCGCCGTACGCCCCTGAGTCTTAAGTATTTTTCCAAGGCAATTTCGAAACTTTTTTTTTCGGCCGAACGTCTTTTGGGGTCGCCTTTTTACATTTTTCGTTATATCTGCGGCATTCATAGTCGGATCTGTTTTGTCTCGAGGAGATTTTTTTTATGCCAGCCCAGCAAATATTCTATTTTTTTTTTGTGTTGTTACTCCCTCTCGAAACTCATATGGTCTCATTCATAAAAAATAAAATAGATTTAAAGAGCTTTATGAAGTGAGAAGGTGGCAATCCGCTTCAACAGTAAACATTCTTAAACCTCTTTAGTTTAATACCTGTATTGTAATATTTCATTAGTGTTATCAAAAAAGTTGAATAAAACTTTTTAATCATGTGGCAACCCTCCTCAAAAATATTTTCGGCAGTAAACTTTTTCAAACCTCTTTCAAATAGGTGGCAACCTTCCACAAAAATTTTTCGGCTGTAAGTCTTCTTAAACGTCTTTCTTCGACAGGCGTTTATTACAATATTTTTTTTTATCTTATCAATTTCCTTAAACTGCAATTTTCATACAGGTGGCAATTCTCGCATTCTTTTTTTCGCTATATTTTAAGTTAGACCTCTACAATGCATCGGTGAAAACTGCAAGCAATTCCATGCATTAGTTTTCGAGTGATGCGCTTACAAACACACATACAGACGAACAGACAGACAGACAGACAAAAAATTCTAAGAATTGTTGATTTAGCTTCTATTGATCCAGTAAAGCAATCTTTAAAATCTATAATGTACAGACATCTGCCTGTTAAAATTTTATTATATGTAGTATACATCTATGTTTTTATCACCCTAATGTCAGTAAATTAAAACTCATCAAAATTCATCACCTTTGCTAAGGAAGAATTTTGATTATGCTAGTAGAACTATTTAAGAAAATCTTATTGGTGATTTTTTATTTTTATATTTTTTTTTTAATTGTCTTGCAAAAATACTTCAGACTAAGGGATGTACGGAGAACTTTTTTTCGTTTGGTTGTAAGGTGGTACAGTCTAATGTACATAGGTATTTGACATAAAAAAGTCTGCTGGCTTAAGTGAGGCAGGGCAGTGCTGCGCCATTAGGCGCTAGTAAACACTGTCCAAATAAATGTTGGAACGATTTGGGTCATACGTTGTTGATAAGGGGCTGCATTGTGCTTTTGAAATTGCTTATTTATATAAGTTACGGTAATTTAGAACATATTTTTCTGGCTCTCCTTTCAAAATTAGGGCAATGGTTTGTCGAATAACGTCGATGCTGTCATTGCAACGAAAACTACCGGCTGATTCGGATCTGATAGCGCAAGTGATAGTGATATTAATAAAACATGGATGAATTTGGGCTTAAATAAAAATTCATGTGATGAAAAGTAAGAACAGGCAATGAAGTACATTTTTCTAGAGTTTATGTTTCGAGCTAGAAATCAGTTTTTCAGTAAATTTAGTTTGAAATGTTCATGAAATTTCTCTCTATATAGTATGAGGAAACGCAACTTTAAATACTCTAAAGCATTTCTCCTTTTCTTAATTTCAGAATTGCGTAATGCCCGCACAGACGTCAGTCATTCCATGGCAGTGATTTATAATTCGTCAACGTCAACTTTAAAAGAAGTATCACCAAAACGGCGTATATAAATCAGAATTCGGTGCTGTTGTTGTTGTTACACAACTTGCGCCAAAGGTCCATAACGACAACAGCAGCGGCAACGACGACATCAGCTCGCCGATCCAGCATCATCAACCGTAACGTCATTGTCCGCTTCAGGGTCAGTAATCTGCATATACGCTAATCATCATCATCATTAAAACCCTCTAAAGCGTAAAGAAGCCATTTGTAAAGCGGTAGCAGCCATTTTCGCTATTATACACTTCCAACGCAACTAAGCTAAGGGTGGCATTTGAGAAGTTGAATAAGCATCACCACCACAGGCATTTCTCTTCGTCTTCGCATTTCATTTACTGATTTCCAACACAGTGCAACATAGTGGCGGCGGCAATGACCCTTACCACTGCTACCCAACAGGAGAGTAGCAAAAAAATGGATGTTAAGTGTGCTGCTGAGGAGAATTTACCATCATCAGAAATGGATCTTTTAGCCAAATTAGAGGCAGCTAACAAGCTCATCGAGAGCGATGCGAAAAGTCTCAACTCGTTACATTCAACGCATAGTCGCAAAAATTCGGACACAAGTCAAATAAGTCTGAATTCAAGTAAGTGTAAGTAAAATATGGAATATGATTTTTAAAGTTTACAAATTGGAGCTTATTATTATAATTTTTTTATTTTTTGCTTAGCTGGCAATTCGAATGCTGAGGAAGATGTTTGGACGCAATGGGCGACTATACTGAGCGATTGGGAGGGTGCACTGAAGCGTAAAAATCCATGTGTACGCGATTTGGTTCGACGCGGCATACCGCATCACTTCCGGTAAGCCTTGCTACATATCTATTTGCAAAATATCTGTATATTAGGGTGGTCCTTTTGGGCCTTATACAAGAGAATCTACCTTTTGGAATCTTCTTGCTGCCGCCGCTACAATTATAGAAAGTGGAAAATAAGGATACCTGTATTTTTTTATCTTAGAATCGGTTAATATTTAACTGTGGCGCTGGGGCTTTGAAGTTTTCCATATACGGTATCGGTCATATCAATAGCACAGCCTTTTTAAAGTGATATTGTTTGCCACTTGTGTTTACTTATTTATTTTTAAGAATCTTCAATTAAAACACTCTTTATTCTCTAAGAAAACCCATATAAACCCAAGCTTAAAATTTTTTTCTCAGAAATGCTAGAATTTTTTGAGTATACAGTTTTGTAGTCCATTCATTCGCTTCTGTATTTGTTTTTGTAATCCTTCGTACTTGACTTCGCCTTCGTCCTCTTATTTGTAACGAACGAAACCTTGGCTTCCTGGTCCGAACCACTTATCCGTTGTTGGTAGAAATTTACTGTGGTATATGTACCGTGGTCATGAAGTTGAAATCCAAATTATACGTGAATAGTTTGTCAAATCCTTGTTTTGTTTCCTGGATGTCTCCGGGATCCCTAAATGAGCCAGTCACGGTTAATAGTGTCTGCCATTCAAAAAGAGAACTCGTTTTTGAAATATCCTAATTATTCTTTTGCGTCGATATTGAACGACCAGGGAAATCTTTCACTTAAATACCCTTTACTTTCCTGCACTATAATAATTTGCCTTCTATTTTATTTCAGCGCCATTGTTTGGCAGCAACTATGCGGCGCATCTGATACGGATAAAAAACAATATGCCGACTACATTAAGGCCACCTCGGCATGCGAGAAGGTAATCAGACGCGATATTGCACGCACTTATCCCGAAGTCGATTTTTTCAAAGAGAAAGATGGCCCAGGTCAAGAAGCGCTTTTCAATGTGATCAAAGCCTATTCGTTGCATGATCGCGAAGTCGGCTACTGTCAGGGTTCGGGTTTCATCGTGGGATTGCTTTTGATGCAGGTGGGTGCCGGTTAAAGGAATGATACAAAGAGTGAAAATAGTATTTCCAAATTCAATAGAGATCAAAGTATTTTTTATATATTATGTATTAACTTTTCTAGATGCCCGAGGAGGAGGCTTTTGCTGTGCTCGTGCAAATTATGCAACAACATCGCATGCGCGACATGTTCAAGCCGTCAATGTCGGAGTTGGGTCTGTGTATGTATCAATTGGAAAATTTGGTACAGGAGCAGATACCGGAAATGCACATACACTTCCAGCAGCAGGTAATAGTAACTAATAATAATTTTTTATTTAACATTTTCAATAACCTCGACAACTTTTCCTTGCAGGGTTTCCAAACCACTATGTACGCTTCCAGCTGGTTTCTCACACTGTATACCACTACACTCAATCTCAATCTAAGTTGTCGCATAATGGACGTATTCCTTAGCGAAGGCATGGAGTTTATATTTAAGGTAGCGCTTGCGTTACTACTGCTCGGCAAAGAAACATTGTTGTGTTTGGATATGGAGGCAATGCTGAAGGTAATTGATAGTAGTATTTAAAAAATAGTCAAATAAGTGCGGTTTTCGCAAGTAGGTTAAATAAACGCCCGTAGGAAGTTGAACGAACTTTCTTTTTTTAATGTATTATTTGCAAAGTCAACACTCGCTTTTAATATAATTTATTTCTGTAAATCTAACTTAATTTTGTTTATCACAATTTATTACTGCAATTTTTTTCTCATTTTCAAGTTCTTCCAAAAAGAGCTACCCGGTCGTGTTGAAGCCGATGCGGAGGCTTTCTTCAATTTAGCCTATTCCATCAAGATCAATACAAAACGTATGAAGAAAATGGAAAAGGAATATCAAGACTTAAAGAAGAAGGAGCAGGAAGAAATGGTTGAGTTGCGTCGTTTACGACGTGAGAATCGTCTATTGAAACAACGCAATGAGCTGCTAGAGGCTGAGAGCGCTGAACTGGCCGATCGTCTGGTGCGCGGGCAGGTCTCACGTGCCGAAGAGGAGGAAACTAGGTCGGTATATGCATTTTAAACAAACATTCGTTTCCTGTTTTTTATACACAGTTACGCTATGTTTTTTTAAATACAGTTACGCTATTCAAACGGAGCTCATGCAATTGCGTCGCTCCTATCTCGAAGTGTCACATCAACTGGAAAATGCAAATGAGGAAGTGCGTGGCTTAAGTTTACGTTTACAAGAAAATGTAAGTTTGCTTTGTTTAACACTCTTCTTTAATCATTTATCATATTGTGCCTAATCATAAAAATCGTTGCTAATCGAACTGGAATTATGATTAAACTCTAATTATTATATCATTTTCTTTTTTATTTCGGTTTCTTGGTGTTTAACCCAAAATAAAACAATACTACTGTTTTAATATTATTAAAAAAAAAAAAAATACAAATCCAAATTCACAATAAAACTTACGCACAATTCTTGCCTACTCAAAACAGAATGTATCAATCGATAGCGTAAGTAATGCGCAGCCGCCGGTGAAGGAAACAAAGGTTAATGTTTATTCAATCCTTTTTTCTGTTAACTGCTTAAATGCATGCTCTTTCTCTACTAATATTTAAATATTTTAACAAAAATAGAACTAACATATATTGCCTGATTGCCTATTGTAAAGACTAATTTTAGAAAGTAGTATAAATGCTGATATGTATTCAAGTTAAAGTTCAAACTTTCAAAATAGTTTGCTGGTTGGTACTGTGACTTCAATAAGTTCTCGTTGTTGCAGCTTCGTGAGCTACTCTGAAATTGCAATAGCATATTCTGAGTAGCTTTAAGGAAAAACTAATTTAGTGCGAAAATGCATATAAGTGGGAAATTTAATTGTATTTCTTTCTGTTATCAAAATAGATGTATTTTAATTAGTTAAAATTTGAATATTTATCATTCTGCTTCTACTTCTGGCAGTTTGACAGTTTTCTCGAACTCACCTAGAAAATAGTCCGCGCGATCTCGTCCTAATGAGGAACAAAAATTATTCGTCGAGGAAATTATTTGTACGAATTATGATTTTTGTCAGATCGCGTTCGTGCAGACCAAACAGTTTGCATGCAAGGGCGAATTGAGAGGGCAAAGTGATAGTTATCTTGAATGGGGGAGCTGGAAATTCTTGCTAGAAAAAACTTTGCCATTTTGAAACGTTTGTTGAGCAAAGCCAGAAAGTCTGTTTTTTTGTCCGCCCGAAAGAATCCTATACAAATTTATTATAATTGAAATGTCACCGTGAGCACCAAAGAAACCTGCAGATGCCTAAAAATTTTCCGTCCTGCAGAAATTTGGAAGTTTCTCTATTTGAGAGAGAATTTGAGAGATGTTTTTCTTACTCTCTGATATTTGAGTGATGGATAATTCTTGCTGGACCTTTCGACAATCAGAAAATATTAGGTCGGTGTTGTGCAGACAAACTTTTCGAGCCCTAACCGCCAAAAAACCGTAAGCAAAATTTTTTTCAGATGCATTTCTGCATCAAAATAAAAATTTCGAGTAAATGGCGCTTACGTTTTTTTGGCGGCTAGGGCTCGTTTTGTTTGGCAAACATTACTAGGTTCGTTCGCGTAGCTGTTAATTGTTCATGTTTAACCAAAACTTACAGGTTTTTGCGTTCGCGTACGCAAAAAACTTGCAAAGTAGGGGAAATTGAGAGAGCAAAGTGACATTTCATTTTGAGGGGAAGCTGTTAGTTTCTGTTGGAAAAATTTTTGCCAACAGCAATTTGCCAACAGGGAAACAGCTGATCAAAAACAGCTGGTTGGCATTTACGCAAATCACAAAATTTAATTTGATGGTTTGGAAGATAAAAATTACAAAATGCGACAAATTAAACTTGTAAGAAATAAGTAGTTATTTGTTTAATCAATAAACTGTGTCAGTATAACACTTTGCGATGACTTTTCGTACGTTTTAAATTTTACACTTTTGTATGTAAACAAAAATTATATCAGCTGTTCGTCTAACTTGCAAGTTTCTGCAAATTTTCTGTTCGCGTACTATTTTGGATATTTCTCTCTTGTGAGCGAACAGATGACATTTCGCCGGAATTTGGCAGTTGGTTGGTTTCTGTTGGGGATTTTAAACGAACGCACCTACTAACACGAAATGAAAATTTTAGATGTACATATCGGGCAAAAATTAATATTATATTATAATATTTCATAGGCAATTAACTGTGCCCTAAGCTTTGAAGCTCTCACAGTAAAAATTTAGTTGGCAACACTAATTTTTCAGCAGTTTGGCTATCAAATTTAGTTTGCTGTGAGAGTTGTGAAACTCTCGCTCTCCAAGTTTGCTGCAACAACAGTTAGCCAAAAAAATTCTGTATAACACCGACCTAACAAATTTTTTTGAAAATGGCGTGGCACCGCCCACTTATAATGAGATATATGCATCTCACTTTATTAATATCTACCAAACTTGGTCCAGCTATCGCTTTTCGGTCTTATTAAACAAGTTGATGAAATTTTCTAAAATCGGGGAAAAACCACGGCCACGTTCTATGTTGGCTATATAGTAACTTCGTACTGAAAATGAGTAAAATTGGATTATAACTACTCACAACTTCCATACAACGCTACTTTCGGAAAATAATAACAATTGCTTATTATAAAATTTTGAAAAAATAGGCGTGGCGTCGTCACAAATGGCAACACTGTTTTCATTCTAAATGTTCTTATGAATAAAAACTATTTTAATTGATGCTATTGCTTTAAAAATTGCATGCCTAGCTCGTTGTCTAATATGCTATTGAAAAACAGAATGTATATACTGACATTAACTAGCACGCTGCATGTTTGTTCACTTAGAATAGTGCCTTCATTAATCTAAAAACATAACCTTAAATTTCTTTCTTTTTCTCCACCCCTTTTCAACTTGCAAAACTCGCAGAACAATTCACGTCAATCATCCATTGATGAATTATGCGTGAAAGAGGAAGCGCTTAAGCAGCGCGACGAAATGGTCTCATGTCTACTCGAAGAGTTAGTCAAAGTGCGTCAAAGTCTCGCCGAGAGTGAAGATCAAATACGTAATCTCAAATCGAAAATTGAAGAACTCGAAGAAGATAAGAAAACATTACGTGAAACCACGCCCGACAATTCGGTTGCACATTTGCAAGACGAACTAATTGCCAGTAAATTGCGTGAGGCTGAGGCTAGCCTCTCACTGAAGGATCTCAAACAACGTGTGCAAGAGTTGAGCACTCAATGGCAACGTCAACTGCAAGAAAACAAAAATGACCATAGTCAACAGCCCGTGGATTCGACGCCAAAGAAATTGCTAACAAATTTCTTTGACACTTCCAAATCAAATGAGCATACGCAGCGTCTGGAAGAGGAGTTGATGACCACGCGTATACGTGAAATGGAAACACTCACCGAGTTGAAGGAGTTGCGCTTGAAGGTAAGGCGTAGATGAAAGTAATTAATTTATGCACCCTTCCTAATGGGTATTAATGCCTCTATCGCATTAGGTTATGGAACTCGAAACGCAAGTGCAGGTTTCGACAAATCAGCTGCGTCGCCAGGATGAAGAGACTAAGAAACTGCGCGAACAGCTAGAGCAGGCAGTCAGTCGCGAAAAGGAAATGGCCAATAAGGCGCGCGAACAGCAGCATAGGTAGTTATTGTTGTTGTTATATTACTTTATGTGTTTAATTAATTGTGTTTTAATTGACTTTTAGATACTCTGATCTGGAATCTCGCATGAAAGATGAGCTGATGAATGTTAAAATCAAATTTACTGAGCAAAGCCAAACTGTTGCCGAGCTGAAGCAGGAAATATCACGATTGGAAACGAAGGTAAGAAATTGTTTATTTTAATCTACGCGTCTCCCGATAGTACTAGCGCTTTCGTCGTTATCACAAAGTGACCTTGTAACGGGTTCGTAGGTTTGCCGGCATACTTTTGTAATATCTACTAGTATTGACACAGTTTTACGTGATGTTTCACAATACGCCGACCGCATTGCTCCCATTATCAATCATTAAACCAGACTTTGCTAATCATTCTGATAACCGCTTTATAAGCGGCCGCTGTGGTGCAGTGGTTCCCAATGCGCTCTTCCACTCCACAGGGCCTGGGTTCAAGCCTTGGTCAAAGCAACATCACAAAAAACATAGAAAAAAAGTTTTTTTCTTAACATCGGTCGCCCCTCGGCAGGCAATGGCACGCCACAAATCAGAGGCGAAGCTCGGCGAAACGCTAACATATCCCAGTAGATAATTTTAGGAGTTAAAAGCCCTTCCGAAAGGCCTTCCTGAGATTCAAGAGGCCTTCCACTCTATTTCTTTTTCCTTTCGTTTTTATATGGAGTGGCACAAATTGAAGGGCTTCTTCTTTCACCATCCATGGAAGGCCTTCCAGAATGGCGTGCTTTAGAAGGCCTTTTAGGATGTGCTTCAGAAGGCTTTTTGGAGGAGAAAGTTGCTTCTTTAATTTATAAAAATCATACATCTTTGAGTATTTGCTTACGGTTTATTTATATTTGCTTTATGTTTATTGAAATTCATTTGTAATGTTAATTTATGCATTCGCGTGAATTTTAAATGAATAATCCCTTCTAGAAAGCATGCAAGGATCACTTTTTTCAGCCCTTCTTGGGTGGGCCTCTTAGAATGGTTTTACTTAAGAATACCTACCTCAATTATCTTCTGGGATGTGTAAGAGTTAATCTATTTTCTATCTATATCTATCTATACATATGAAATGAGGTCTCAAATTAAAGGGCTTGTGCTGTAGATGTGCATTAGGTTCGAGAAGAGTTGCCACCTGTTAAATAATTCAAATCAAATGGTTTAATAATCAATCCCCTCAGATCCGCTCCTTTCATTCGATTTTCAAAAGTGAGGTGTCAACTTAAAGGGCTTGGGATGCGAATGTTGAATAAGGTTCTACTGTTTAGAAAAGATGTGCCACCTGTTAAGAAATGAAGCTGAAATTATTTAAAAGCTTAAATTAATTGTTACAATATGGGTATCAACCGAAATGGTTTTGAAAAGGCTTTATATCTGAACTACGTGTAACAGGGTTACCACATGTTTAAAAAATCTATTTCATTTTATTAATTAAAGGAATTTTGTAAATTAATAAGGTGTTACTTTATGGGTGTCAGACAAAAGAGGTTTAAGAAGGTAATAGTTTGGAAATATTTTGAAGAGGGTTGCCACCTGATTGAGAATGCGGATTAAATTATTTTATACCCAAGTTATATGAAATATTAAAAATTGATGCTAAATGAAAGAGTTTTAAGCAATCTTTAGTTTGACAATTTAGATAATTTTTGATGTTTGAAGGTTGCCCCAATTTAAGAGGTTAAATTAAAAAAGTTAAAAATTTAAATGAATTACTTAAAATCCTTTACTTCAGAACTATATTTAGGAGGGTTGCCACGTGTTTAAAAAATCAGATTCAACACCATTTGATTGAAATATTTATAACAATGTCATACGAATGAAATTTTAGTTCGAAAATAATTTTGAAAACGGTTGCCTCCTGGTTTGAAAGTCGTATTTAGTTTAATTATACATAAGTTACACGAAATTTTGAAATATGGGTATCAAACGAACGAGTGTTAAGAAATCTTTAAATTGAACATTTATAATTTTTTTAGGGTGCCAGAAGAGCGTTTCCGCCCGTTGAAAAAAGTAAATTCAAATTATTGAATAAGTTAAATGGATTGTCAAAAGATGGATATCAATCAAAATGGGTTTGAAAATATTTTATTTTTGAACTGTATTTAGGAGAGTTGCCATGTGCTTAATAAATCAATTTCGACTTAATTCATCAGTTAATTGAAATATGTATCAAAATGCCAAACGATTTTAGTCTGAAAATACTTTTAAATAGGTTGCCACCTGTTTACAAAGTCGAATTTGTTTTACTTATAGAATCACCCATATCTGGATAGTCTTCGTTTTTCATTGAAATGCATCTTTCTATGGGTGTTGATTTTCATTTATCCTTATAAAACCGCGAAAAAAGTATAGATACCATGCCTCAAAGAGTTGTTTTTGAAAATTTTTTACAAAACCTTTTTAAGTCTAAACAGTCATCTCTGCATAGGAAATGAGGTGTATTTATAATTTCCTACCAAAATTTATTTATAACCTAACATTTAAGTTTTAATATATATTTTTTCGTGAAACAGCATCTACTTATACATATGTAACTGCATTTTAATTAATTAATTATCTCTCGACGTTCTACCCTTTACTTTAAACACTTTCACAGAATTCGGAAATCTTAGCTGAAGGTGAACTACGTTCCAATTTAGATGAATCTGACAAAGTGCGTGACCTGCAGGATCGTCTGGCTGATCTTAAAGCAGAGGTGAGTTGCTACATAAACCAGCAATATGGATATTTCAAACGAAAACGATTCTTCTAAAATTAAAAATTTTGATTTTTTTTAATCAATTCTGCTGTAAATAAATTAAAACTTATGCAAATCGAAAATTGGTGAACAATTCATAATTTCATGAATGTCATTCACATGGCTGCGTGCTCATTATACACGACTAACAAGATATATCTATACTTATTTTCTTTTGCTTGTTAGAGGCACGAGTTATTTGAAAAAAAAATAAATGAAAAATATTCACTACAATGTGGGAGGACGAACGTTCACGCTCTGCCTAAGTTCACCATTGCAAAGCCTATTGTGCGCGGTTAGAATTGTTTGATTATTATAATTTTTTTCTATTGTTTATTCTTTACTTATTACATTCATACATACACAAACACACACACTGAAATGCATATAAACTCTTTTGCATTGGTTGTTTGGCTTTGTGCTTCCGATTGTGGGAAGCGGAATTGCATACGACACGGATGAGTTGCGCCAGCAGTTAGTTAACCATTGCAAGCATTTTGAAAACATGCACAGACACATTGATATACGCGTACAACTGTACAGCCGTATGCCTGCTTTTGTTTGTTGTGCACACAACAATTTTCTAAAAAGCTTTCAGTTTATCTAAATTAATTTATAAATTTTTTTTCTGCGCTGCTATGTTCTTCCGCTGCTATCAGCGTTTTTTATGCATACATACACACGTTATCACGTTCGCCATATAGGCAATGATTTATATTTTGTCTACATAATACACGAATATTCTCCCCTCGTTTTTATATTTTTTTATTTGTCTTTTCGTAATCCATTTAGTATTTTTTTATATTTTTTATTATTTTTTTGTTTACATAAAAAATTTGATGCAAAAATTCACATTTCAATATCAATTACTCACTGTGTGTATTTTTTTAGTATCCCACGCCAATAACAAGCCCCGATACTGAACCATGGAAGTGGATAAGCTAAATAAACAAAGAATGAAAAATATAAAAATCAGGTCATTACTAACCAACCAATCAACTTAATTCAAAATAACAGCTCATTTTACGACATTTTAATCAAATATTATACAACTACAGAACTAATCATTAAATGCATTACAAATAAAAAAAAATAAAAATTAAATCATTGCTCGCAATAAGAAAAAAATAGTGTCGTGTTAGTAAAAAAAATGTACTGTCGAAAATATTTTTCGCTGCATGCCATTTGTTCTGCTTAATTGCATACATATTTTACCATTGTACGCATTTGCATGATAACTGATTACCATCGACAAATAAACTTATTTTATAAGCTGCATGCATTTTCTCCATATGAATTCAAAAAAATTTTGAGGTGATACACTAGGCGACAAATGAAAGAAGTTTACACCTTGTTCTAATAAAATATTTACAATTATTTTCATGAAAAATTGTTTGCCTTATTTATTTATGAAAAAATAGTTCATTCTATAATATAAACCATATAAATCAAAGTTTCAAACTTTATATAAATTTAAAAAAAAAATTATCCAAATTTTCCACTTTTTATCCAAAATTTCTAGAAAAATTTCGAGTTGCAGTTTTGTAGCCCATTCAATTTTAGTCTAATGACTTCATTATTGAGAATTTTCCATCTCCAAAAAAATTACCAAAAATCAACGCGAATTTGTAGCCGGTTGAAACTTGCACTTCATTGGACTAAAATTAAATGGGTTACAAAACTACATACTCGAAAATTTTCTAGAAATTCTTAAAAAAAGTTGAAAATTTGGATGTTATTTTTATGAATTTCTGTAAACTTTATATAAAGTGTGAAACTTTGATTAATATGCTTTATAATATAGAATTAATTATATTTTCATAAAAAAATAATGCAACAAATTGTTAATGAAAATAATTGTGAATATTATATTAGAACAAGTTGTACACTTTCATTTGTCGTCTAGTGTATATATATTTGTTGTTGTTTCATGAGCATATATTGCTTACAAGTTTTGTTGATTGTTAATTAAAAATGGTTCATTATGGCTTAAGTTTCCATTATGTCCATACTCATGCATGAATGATTTAAAATATTCTATACATTTTCAATTTTAAATACTAGACAAGTAGAAGAGTATAGTAAAAATAATCACTAGAAGATGATAATTACTTTCATTATAAGTATACATATTTCTTGTTGTTAAATTATTTTATTGTAAAATCCAACGACTGTTTAACCGCCTTAAATAGCTTTTAAACCGAATTTTCTTCAATCGTCAAAATTGTATTCGATAGTATTAGCACGACGAATCCCAAGCGATGTTTGTTTAATGTAGCGGACGTCAAGTGCAGTTGGTATTCCGGACATTAGCACAAAATGGTATAGCGGCCTAGAACGCCATATCTCCCCTCGCTTATGGCGTGATATAAAAAAGCGTTCCATATTTCGCATTTCGTAAAAATAATTATAAGATTCGCGATCCCGTACTTTTACTCCATTGCTCCTAGCCAATTTTTAGTTTTTGACAGTTTTACTAGACTTAGCCCGAAGAAGACGGGATTGAACCTAATGTAAAGTCACGCCCTTGATACCTTTAAAACTATAAGTCTAATTTTAATCCTACAAATCCTATCCGGAATGCTACAGCATCCTGATGATTATTTAATAACAAAAATCTAATTCAAATTAGCATCAAAATTATGTGGCACCTTGGGTGGGGTTTATGGACAAGTATATACCGTCTCCCTTGATTTCTTAAATTATTCTAAGCACTTACAATTATAATTGGATTTTGTATTGCATGCACTTAAATGTGTATAAAATTTACATACATACATATGTATATTAGAAGTATAAATAGTACACAATATACTTCGTCTCAAATATACTCACTAATTTTCATACTTTACAGCTAACCGCCATACGAAGTCGTGGCAAATATCCAACCAATAAACTGCGAAGCGCCTCAATACAATCCATCGAATCCAACGAGATTGACTTTAATGAATTGAATATGCGACGTGAGAGTGCTGCCGAATTATCAACAACATAATACACAATGCAGCTGAGGAGTGGGACAAGTGCTGCTTGCTTCTATACTCTTCCCAGAGACATTATCGCACAGCTGGCATACTGATATTAAATGGATATTAGACGCACATGCCGTATAGGAAAAGTAAACACACAAAAACTGCTACATACATACATATTATCGTAAAAAGTAGTAAATTCCAAATTGAAAATTAACTAAGAGTTAAATATGTTAATGGCTTATTAGTTTTAGGTAAGTTTATGCATGTGAATTTGGCGCTTTTCAGCTACATACAACTTATTATGTTTTATCATTTTTATTGCGTGTTTTTTATTTTGAACTTTTTTCTGCCTGCTTGTATCTATCTGGCATACTAGCAAGCAGTTATATAAATAACTTATTTATTGTAGTTTATTATAGCGACTATACCAATTGATTATTATTATTATTATTATTATTATTATTATTGCAATAATTGTAATTTATAAGGAATGTAATGAAAGTGTGTGTTTGTATCCTTGAAAGGTCAGCGCTAAATCTCTGTTGTCGAATAACGCTTAATATTTAGTTGCTTTGAAACTTATGTATCTACAAAATTGTAGTTGTAAAATTATATTGAAAAATATATTTTTTAAACCTTGCACTCATTAAAATTTTGCAGCTTTCGGCATTGAAGATTTAGCGTTAACGCTTTTGAGATTGCTTCTCTACAGCACGCAAACGTACACTTACCAAGTTACTGTATTCAAGTAAAAATTCTAGTTTTTAAAAGTAATTGTATTTATGTGTAGCTAATATTGAAGTTATAAGTAAATCCGAATGAAAATGAAAAATGGTATTAAAAAAAGAGTTCGTATGTAAATGACGAGTTAGCTGATCATAAATGGGATGAAGTAATGTTTTTTGCAAAAAATTATGGCACACGGTAATGTAATAAGCAGAAACGATATGAAACGAAAATATGTGTCTCAAATTGGAACAAGTTTTTATATAAAAATTTAACATACCTACATATATGCATACATACATATGTAGCATTAATTTATATAAATTATTTAAACAGGTATTATAAAAGACTATGTATGACACATATGTAGCTTTGAGGGGCATTATAAGGAGAATACGTACATATGTACTAAGACAACTCACACTTACGTAGAAGTAGTTGAGACCATTTTGGCATTAATCATGACAGAAAATTTTAGTAACTCACATTAAGCATACATACATACATACATAACTTAGATGATATTTCAGGAGTGCTCGCTGTTAAAATGTATATTGGCATGCAACGTAAATTAAGAATTTTGTTTGCTTGAAATCCTTATGCAAAGTGCCGAGTTATATTTTTTGCCCTCCCATAACAAATTTCGTTGCGGTGGAATCTAAATAATTTTTAAGAAATTTATGCACCGGCAACACATGACTTATTGAATTTATTTTCATTTATTGCGCGCGTGCTATGTATGCCTCAAAACAACTTGAAATCAATTTGGTTTTGTAGCGACCTCCATCTGCATAATGAGCTGATGTGTAACGAACGCCACATGTGCTAGCGCTATCATTGTTTCTCAGTTGCGCTCGTAATTCCTTCGGACCGCAGGCAAAGTGTAAAGTGGTCACTTCCTCAAAATAGATATACGGTGTTTCTTTATATATTCCAACTCTGCAAAATCCGCTCTGAGAATAGAACAGAGGAGTACTCCTGCTGACCTGCTTTACCAAGTGGAATTTTTCAGTTTGTCACCTGTTATTAAGCTCTAAACTTTATTTTGTATACATATTTATATCCCGCCAACGTTTCAAAAGTTTCACAGTACACTGGAGACACTTCTACGTAGCGAATATCCCTATACGAAACAAAATGCAGTAGTGTTTCATATAAGCGTACATACATACACACAAACATATTACAGGTATATTTCGGAAACGCACGTGGCCAAAAAGAACTAAATTATCTACTACCAAAATTAAGAAAATTATAAACTTTTAAACAACAAATACAGTCAGCATGCAGAGAAAATTTGTTGAACAAAAGCGCATATTGAAATATAATTGGAATTCTCGACTTTTATGAAAGTTGGTAATGATTATAAATTGAAAATGGATCCATAATTAAAAAACAAACAACAAAAATTTAAATTATAATATGTACAATAGAATTTTTCTTGCTACTAGCAAGAAAATTATTTCAGATAAAAAAAAACTAGTAAAATTCACTTTTTTTGTTGAATAATCTTTGACTTTCGAAAACTGTCACAGCTATAATAGCTTGCAGCAAAAAAGTATTATTTAGCTTTTGAAAAACTTTGCTTGTTCGTCCCTGACTAAGCATGTGCCAAGCTCACATTGCTATGCAAAATCTTAACCCGTACCGACTCTAAGAAATTGGTTTTAAGTTTAGTTGGTTTGGTTTGTATTTCACAGCCGTTGAAAATAGATAGCCCCGTAGATTTTTGCTAAAATAGGAAAAAAAGGAATTTCATGTAAAACAAGTAAGAGCAGCGCTGTCTTCGGCTATGCCGAAGGCTTCATACCTTTCATGAACATCTGCAAATTTTAGTTTGACAGATTACTGCTTTTGAATACATCTGCATACATCGATAGAGGAGTTACATACTTATATAAAAAATCGCATCTAAACAATCAGAGGTATGGAAGATATACTTTATATGACACCAATCTAAGTGATTTTCACCGCTATGTGATCGGTATGTAAACCGGTAACACAATTTATTGGGTTTAGTTTCCTACATAAAGGAGATATATGGCAAAAACTGGTATCTGAACAATCAGTGCTATAGGAGATAAAGCTTATACAGCATAGATTTTGACGATTTTCACAGTAGACTTTGTATTATTATTTATAAAATATCTTACGAAATTTATCGGTTTTAGCTATTCAAATAAAGAAGTTTTACAGTAAAATCCCATATCTGAACAATCAGATGTATGGAAGATATATGTTGTAGTCATCCGATCCTTGTTATTTTCACTGTAAGTATTCTGTTAATAATGAGTGAAAATGGTGCGAAATTTCATGTTCCTAGCTGCATAAATGGAGGAGTTATGATAAAAGACCTCATATCTGAACAATCAGTTGTATGGGGGCTGCAGGTTATAGTGACCCGATCTTTATTATTTTCGAGGTAAGTCTTCTGTTGATAATGAGTGAAAACAGCGCGAAATTTCATGGTCCTAGCTACATAAATGGATGAATTATAACGAAAAATCTCATATCTGAACAATCAGTTGTATGGGAGCTATAGGTTATAGTTACCCGATCTTTTTAATTTTCACTGTAAGTTTTCTGTTGATAATGGGTGCAAGTATTGCAAAATTTCATGTTCGTAGCTGCATAAATGGCGAAGTTATAATGAAAAATCTCATATCTGAACAATCAGTTGTATGGGAGCTATATGTTATAGTAGTCCGATTCTTCCGGTTCCGACAAATGATTAATACATTATAAAAATACACCCACCTTCCAAATTTCATCCGGATATCTCGAAAACTGAGAGACTAGATTGCATACAAACAGACAGACAGACGGACAGACGGACAGACGGACAGACGGACAGACGGACAGAC